TGATAAGAATGTGAAGATCCATTTCTCATCTTTCTTCCACCTGAGTCAGTATTTTCTTCCAGACCCTGTGTGAAGACTTCCCTGATTCCCCTTCCTTTCCCCCAGCATTCACTGACTTTTCTTACTTTTCAGCAGCAGATACATATTGATAACGGCAGAAACTACTGAACAGCAATTGAGGTGCCCTGTTGGCACCTGAACACAGGCATGGCATGACTAGCAAAGGGGTCAGAAGTTGCTGTCACAAACAAATCACTGGAGCCTTGTCACTGCCTTGCAGACTCTCTCTGGCATTCCCCTGTTAACATTAGAATCCAATACCCCTATCAACTGCTGAACTTCTGATTTACTTTCTTCTAATCTCATCTAATGACATGTCTTCTGGGTTGATCCCCCACCATTTCTGACATTTTTACTCATAAATCAGTAGTTTTGTTGCATCCCCTGGGCAGTTGCTTCCTTTAGTCTGTGCCCCTCAGTGCATGATCATCCACTTGGCAAGGATCAGTTCTGTCTACATGGGGTGCTGGCTGAGGATTAGAGGCAGATTGGACCTAGTGTTTTACTCTAAGAACCCAGGAGTAGAAAGACCCAGATAGTGAGGACCAGCTAAGTCATTAGAAAGGGCTTAATATTAAAATCAACATCATCAGGTCTAAGGGTCATGTGCAGACGTAACAATAGGAGGCAGAGCGAAAGGGACTGGTGGGCAGTAAAATAGGAGGCAAGGCAAATGGGTCACGCAGGATTATAAGCTCTGTAAGCAATAGGAGCCCTGTCTGTCTTGTTCATCACTGTATCCGAGCACCTCAAAAGTCCCTGACACATTGTAGGCACTCCATACTTATGAGTTTCATGACCAAGTGTCTTGGATGATTGCCACACCGGGTTGGCATCTCTTAGGCTACGCAACAGTTAGCTGAGTCATAGCCAGTGAATTGAAAGGCACAGGGCTCTCTCCTCAAGGCTATGGAAGCTCCTGAATTGTGTCTGCACAGCCCCACCCTGGATTCATCAAGTGTCTCTGATTGTTCCACATGGACTTGTCTCATCTCGCCACTTAGCTTGTCAGCCTGTCTTCCTTGAACTGCACTGAGAATGCGGTTGGGACTCAGCAAACACTAATTGGTTCAGGTTGAACTGAGCTGGGCTTCCCTGGATAACTCTTGCAGTTTGTTATGAGTTATTAAGTTCTCCTCCCCTCATTAAAGAATATTGCTTTCATGACCTTCAACATTTGTTTAAAAAATATCCTTTCATCGAGGAAAAAATAAGAACTGGATGCTTGCAGCCAGACATGTAGCTTCGTAATGATGACTGGATTATAAAGCTCATTACATCTTAGAATTTGGAATGAAACCACAGCCTTTGAAGTTGGTTTCCATGACATGCTTCATCTCGCTTCCTTTCTTCAAAGAACATGCAAAGGTGAATCCTACCAGCTTCTGAGGCAGGAAGTCATCGTGTGATTTCGCAATTACCCTCCAGTTTGCCAAGACAAAATTTGGATTTTTCAATAATAATTCAGTGATTATTCCAAAAAGATAAGTTTATTTAGACATAATCTGCCACTGGTTTAACATGAGTTTTATTGACATAAAAAATCAAACAGAAAATTATTCCACACATAAACTACTGTTGCCATCTTGACAGAAATCCAGATTTGATTTTGAAAATTAAGAGATACCTACTGTAATTACACCTAAGCCTTGATCTGAAACAAGGCTTCTTGGCCTTGGCACTATTGACATTTTGAACCAAATGATTATTTGTTGTGAGGGCTGTTCTGGCTTGTGTTGCACAATGTTTAGCAGCATCCCAGGCCTCTATGCACTAGATGCCGGTAGCACCCTCCCACTCTCTTTGTGACAACCAAAAATGTCTCCAGGCACTGCCAAAGGTCCTCTGGAGTGGCAAAATTACTCTGGTTGACAACCACTTATCTAATACAACCCTCAGGTCCAGTGTGGTAGAACCTCATTTTACGAAGGTCTTTTGATTCTGCACAGACTTCCCAACTATATCGTCTTAGTGTGATAGTAGATCAGGTAGCATTTTCCCCCGTGCTTTTAAACAAATATGGTACTTGACTGTGCTTTCTTTCCTTCATTAATACTAAACCTATATTAAATTGTAGGCTTCTTAAGTGTAACAACTGCTTTCTTTTGCTTTGAATTTTGTCACAGAAGTATGAACTGTGTTTGTAAGCACTGATATAAGCACTTAGTGTATGTAGACTAACCCCGTAAAAATTCAACTAGAAGAAATTCATGTCTGCTTTTAACTAGCAGAATATAAATGCTATGAGGACATTTTTTTTTTTCAGTTTTGTTCATTGCTGTATTCACAGCACCTACAAGAGTACCTGATAGGTAGGTGCTCAATAAATATTTGATGAATGAGTTATATCACTTTCTTTCTAAAATAAAGTGGAATGAGGTCCTTCCCCCGTTTCATAAAGGATAGCATTTGGAGTCCTTAAACTGGGGATCAAAGCTCTGTTTAGTTTGCATTTTCCAGTCTTCATCCCTGCTTTTTTAATACACAATACCACCTCTTTGATCCAAGCTTATCTACTGATGCTTTCTCAAATGCCCATAAACATCTTTGTCACTGCACAACTGCTCACTTTGTTTTCTCTGTTTAGAATGTTCTTTCAAGCTCTCCACTGAGTCAAACATATACAATATATACTTGAAAGGTCGAGTTATTTCATGTCTCCCAGGTAACGTTTTCTGAGCCCATGAACTCATAAAGAACTTTCAAAGCCTAATACTTACGGGTTTGTACCTCCCCCTGGGCATTTTAATTCTGTAAAGTACACCACCTTTCATCTTACTATTTTGAATTATTGTTTTTATGTGTGTATACCTTCTCTTCCAAGTAGATGCAACCTTCCTGAAGGCAGAAATATATTTTTATCTTTTTTCTTTAGCATTAAATAGTCTATTAAATAACATCTACACAGTGAAGGGACCTTATTGTTATTAATTCTTTCATTCATTCAGTTAGTTATTCAACTAATAGTTTTTGACTGCCTACTCTGTGCTAGGAGGCAAAACAAATACGGTTCCTGTTCTCATGATACGTTTGGGCCAACTGGAGAAAAAGTGGTATCTAATGTAGTGAGAACTAAATTTAGTCATAAGACTGTGGTGTGAATGCAAAACACTGTCACTTACTAGGTATGTGATCATTTAAGCTCTCAGCATCTCAATGTCCCCATCTAGCAAGTGGGAACAATAATGCTTGCTCTGTCTACCACCCATAATAAAGAAGCTCAAACCACATTGCCTTTTATGTGCTTCTAAATGACAGGGTATGGTGGCTTTAATTTGTTCAGAGATTCTTTGATACCTGGAGACTAATTCTCATCCCCTTGAGTATAAGATGGACCTAGTGACTTACTTCTAGTAGATAAAATAAAGCAGAAGTAATGACATGCAATTTTGGAGACAAAGCTGTAAAGAGGCAATATGGCTTTTGACTTAGTCACTCTGTTTCTTGAATTACTTGGTTCAGAGGAAGCCAACTGCCATATTGTATGCAGAGCTATAGAGAAGAACATGTGCTGAGGAACTGAGATCATCTATATGCTAGAGCTTAGAAGCAGATTCTTTATCTCCAGTCAGACCTGCAGATGACTGAAGCCCCAGTCAACAGTGTGACTGCACCTCATGAAAGAACCCAGGTTAGCATCTTCCAGCTAGGCTGCTCCTGAAATTTCTGACCCCCAGAAACCATATGCGACAATACATATTTTGTAAATTGCCAAAATTTGAGTTATTTTTAATGCAGCAATGGAAAACGAATACACAGGATACTAGAGAGATTTAAGGTTTTATTATTTTTGAATATGCTAATACTTGTTGAATGAAAAGTGCCATAATTAACTGTGGTTTATGATCGGTGGTGAGTTAAAAGTAGAAGAAAAAGAGGCTTCAAAAAAAGAAGAAAAGAAAAATTACAAAACATTAAGAACATGAGAAAATCAGATGGATGTGAAACTTTTGATGGGTGGTTTACAAGCTTCTCTGCCACTTGCTTCATTTTCTGAGAAGTATCAACCTATGACAGTGACTGCAGGCTAGATGCCAAAGGTTACCAGACAAAGGAATTGTTCATTCCTACTGACTGCTTTTGTTTTATTCTATTTTCAGTTCTCATTTTGAGCAAAAATTGATAGTTTTAATTAAATGAGAAATGAGTCTTACTTCTACTTTACATAGAATATAAACTTTTTTGTATTAGAGAGTCACCACGGTTCTTTGTTAGACACAAAGGTCATGGACATGGGAATTTATGATGTGTTGCATCAATGACAACTTTTGAGAGTCACTGCCACTCCTTTGCCATAGTATTGCTGACCCAGGCTGACCTCCATTATTAATGATGCCTCAGATGGGAGGGCTGAATTCATAGTCCTCACCAGTCAACTTTGTCACCATTAATTTGAACCAGAACAAATTTAAATTTAAAAGGATTTAACCTCCTTTGGCCTATCCCGCTTTACAACCAATCTCTTAAACTCCCCACTGAGAACATTGTTTTGGAGAACGACTATCAATTTATTAACCTATTTAATAATAAATACAGAATTTAAATTCCTCACTGAATATTTATTGACCTTAATTTTCCCAGGGCTTCAAATAAAGGATTTTGGAAGTTATGTTAACCCTTTGAAGCCATGAGAATGACACTTTAATATGTTTAGGAGTTTCTTTACTAGATGATGAAAATGTTCTGAAATTGGCTGTGGTGATGGTTGTACAAGTCTGTGAACATACTAAAAACCATTAGATCATACATTTTAAATAGGCGAGTTAATGTGATGTGAATTATATCTCAATAAAGCTGTTAAAAAATAAAACTCGATTTCAGCCGGAAAAAAGTCATAGCTAAGAAACAGGCATGAACCATGCAAGTTTGCTGAAATTTTATCTGCTTGGTTAAATTATCTGCTTGGTTAAATTAATAGCTCAGTGTGAAAACATTCTTACTTGTAGGAGATACACTGCTGGCTGGAGAAGGTTGGGTGTCAAGGGTGGATTCTGTAACACTCGGTGGAGGGTCTGTTGTGGACATTTCAGAACCTGAAAGGATTGGAAAGATGTTTATAATGAACAAAATATTGCAATAGTATTGCCTTAGTTCCTAAATACACTTTCCTTTATTTATTTACCATGTAACAAATCAATATATTGGGGGCATATTATGGTCAAGGCAGTGGGATATAATGATGAATGACAAAGACATGGGATTTTCCTTAAAGGGCCGATGGCCTAGAAACTAGGCAGCCAAGCATTGTGTTGAGTACTATGACAGTGGAAGTATAGGTGGCCACAGGAGCGCAATAAAGGTGCACCGATAAAGACTGGGAGGTCTGAGAGGGCTCCCTGGAAAAAGTTACACTTTACCAAGACCTGGTAAAACTATTATAGCATTTAATATTTTGAACTGTTTGATAAACAATCATGTAGTTTACAAAATCCATAAACTCACAAAAATTTTTATATCAGCAAGAGTAGAAACAATGATACAACTATCCAATTGGATGTAACATTAGTAAACTTGTGATGTTATTCTGCTTTCTAAAATGTCAACTTTTGTCATAATATTTTTGTTTGGCCTCAACTTTTTCGTGTGTGTGTGTGTGTGTGTGTGTGTGTGTGTGTGTTGAGGGGAGTTGAAATAGAGGCTAGAATGTGGTTTTACTTATGTTTTACATTTATGTCAATTCCTTAAATCTCTATTACTGTATTTAAAAATAGCCCTATTGGAGGGACAATTTACAAATGCCAGAAGGCTCTATTGACTTTAGGAGCGTGTGGGTTAAATGTGCTTAGATGATTTTGAAGTTAGAAGATTTTATGATTTTTGTAGATATAATGTTACTGCATACAGTGTTACACATCTGAAGAACTACATCAATTATCTGGATGTTTAATTAATAATTAAACTATTGGTTCTATTCTGTAATGTACTTTAAGGGACAAGTATATTTTACTTACGTTATGTCACTGGATAGCACATAGCCCAGTGGGAGGAATTTGTTTTTCTAAGCTAGATGCATGTATGTTCTCTTCTCATTGTTAGTAGCATTGCTATTGCCATTGGCTGTTGGGGGCACTCATAGCTAGCTCTGACCTACTACTATATGAATGCTTTTGTGCAAATAATCTCTGAGGAGCTGGAGGACAGTTAAATGGGAAGGACATGACTAGGTTAACAAAATGAGCATCCTTTTTCTTCATACATCCCAAATAAGTTTGAACTCTTCAGCATGACACACAAGTCTAATTATTGTTTGAGCTGTCATTACACTCCCAATTTCCTGATATTGCCTATCATTTTTTCCATCTCTCTCAAGTAATACCCTCTATCCAATAAGCAATATTTCAACCCAATTTCTGAAGTACAGTATTCTTTCTGTGACTTCTGGGACTTCTTGGTCTTAATTTATGTGGTTTGCTGACATTTTCTTATCCCCAAACTTCCCTGAATGTACCTTCTCAAGCTGAGGAAGCCTGGGGATCTTTGTGGTGTGCTCACCCCTCAGGGTTTACCCTAGCAAATGCCTCATAACTCTGTGTCATTGTGTATGCCCCTCAAGGGAAGTCACTGTTTTGCTCCGCACCATATTTATGGATTCTGGCAAATGGAAGTAGGTGAATCAATGCATGCAAATTTATTCTTAACACTGAGAGAAAGAAGGCCAGCATTAAGTGTGTGTCTGACAGCTGGTGGATCATAAGCATTATCTTCCATAGTGCTACCTTAATAAGACAGGGCATTGGTTGGAAAATAAATGCCTAGACATTTTTCTCTGTATATTGATTAAAATAGAGGTTGGCAAACTATGGCCTACAGTGAAATCATGTTTATAAAATTTTTATTGGAACACAGTTTTTCCCTTTTTTTTTTTTTTAACATATTGTCCATGGTTGCTTTTGTGTTAGGGTGACAGAGTTGAGTAATTGTGATAGAAATTAAAAAGTCTACAAAGCCTAAAATGTATTTACTATCTAGCCCTTTACAGAAGAAGGTTGCCACTTCCTGGAACAGAAGATATTGATACGTTATGCTCAATTTCCACAATGGGAAACTTTTATTTTTCATTGATTGAATATTTCAGTTTTAGGATACTTCTCTGCTGTATTTCATCACCAAGTGATTTTGTAAGCTGAGGTGTTCAGCTTCATAGTGCATTAATAATATATTGTTGTAAGATGTGCATTTTGAGATGAACACTTTGTCCTGTGACAGAGGTGAAACATAGCATTCAACATAAAATGTGGGGCCTAAAAATGTCTGTCTAGTTTTAGATTAGACTGTAAAGTGGAAACTCTGCCTTGGTCAAAACAAAACTCAGGGGGTATGAAAAGAGTGGTTAAAACCTAAAAAGGAGAAACAGTTTCCCAAAACCCAAATGCAGAATTTAGCAGAAACACCTCTGCCAGTTTCCAGATCATTGCATTTACCATAATGTCATAAGACGGTAAGCTGCTGCCTAAAGCCACTTCATCTGTTCCTGGGTGTGTCCATTCGAGTAGGCCTGGCAGGGCTCTCAGAACCAACCTCATGGGCAGCAGTAGCTATGGGTGTGTCCCACAGGGCAACTGCTTTAATTCTGGGGTTTCCTCAGAGCTTGTATAAGCCCTTATCTTGTCCACCTAGAAGTAAGCCAAATCCCAGGGTTTGCTAGGTCCTTTCTTCTCAAAGTGTTGTCCACAGACAAGCAGAATAGGTTTCTTTTAGGATCTTGTTACAAATGCAGAATCTCAGGTCCCACCTAGACTGACTTAAATGAATTTTTGTATTTTAGCAAGATCCCTGGGTAATTTATATGCATATTGAAATTCTCAACTGATACTCTCAGGAAGGATCAGTCACGGGTATGAGGTCAGCTGCACTGAGGTAAGTCATGAAACAGGAAGTATTTGTCTGATATCTTCCACACCAATATGCAGTGGTCCTCCTGTTCCACTATTAGGATATCTTTTTGTTACTCCTCTTTCCACATGCTAAGATACACATGCATACCTACACACACATACACCTACACGCCTGTCAATGCTTAACTCTCTTTCTATCCCAAAGGTCTTGATCTCAACAGCTACGGTCAGAAACCTACTTAATAAACAAATCTCTGTCAAGGGTGATGACAACCAAAATATTATCCACCCCAGGGGGTATTGTACTCAACTTTTGGATTAAAATAAGATAAAATATCTCCCACCCACTCCCCAAAACAAAACCCACGAAACCCAGCTCTTTAAATCTACCAAAAATAGACTCAACATTGCCATGATTTTAGACATTTTGACAGGCTAGCAGGGCACAAATTTTTTTTTTTTTTTGCACTGTTGCCCAGGCTGGAGTGTAGTGACATGATCATGGCTCACTGGAGCTTCAGACTCCTGGGCTCATGCAATCCTCCCACCTCAGCCTCCCAAGTAACAGGGGCTAATGACATGCATCTCCTTGCCTGGCTGATGTTTTGAATTTTTTAGTAGAGACAAAGTGTCACTATGTTGTCCAGGCTGATCTTGAACTTCTGCACTTAAGTAATTCTCCTGCTTCAGCCTCCCAAAGTTCTGGGATTACAGGCATGAGCCACCGTGCCTGGTCCATGTTTTCTTTGAAAGACTTTTTTTCTTAGTGGTAGTTACTCTGGATCGTGGGAATTTTGCAGGTCCTGGTGCACAGATAGCTGCCTGAAGAGTCACTGATCACCCTAACCCTAATCCCATGCCCTTTCTGAGTTTTCTAGAATAGGGATCACTGAGCACTAGAGCTTCTTGGGAGACCAGGCATAGGTGGAGAAGGAATCACCTCAAAGGGCTGTTACTTCACAGTCTTCAACATTAATACCCTTTTCTGGAAACAAGAGGGAGCAAAGAGAGTAAAACTTCTTCCCTTTTCTCACTAAAACTTTTTCCTACTGTGTAATATTCTTAGCATTTCTCTAATGTAGCACTGAGGGATGGCAGATTTTTCTTCTGTGTCTTCATCTCAGTATCTTGTCTACAATAATAGCTTGGTAAGGCAATGACTCTTGCATCACACGTCAGAAGTTTACTGCGGAGTTCACAAAGCATCCAGCAGTACCATCACAGACAGAGAGCATGTGTGGAAGTAAGTGTTTAAGAGCTTGCAACAACAGGGAGACATAACACAGTGATGACATTGCTTTATAGAGCCTTGACTGCATCTTCTAAGTCAGTCACATAGATAGATGCCAGAATGGGATGAGAATGTAAGCTTTAATTTTGAGAAATTGAACTCCTCAAGATTGATTTTCTTTCATATTTGATCACAAAGGATAAAGACTCATTTGGCAATTTAAAATTAACCACCTGTTCAGAGCCCCAAATTATGCTAGATCAAGGTCTGCCTTATACAATTGGAATTATGGTATGTTTTCAGTATCAGAATCAGTGTTCTTCCTATTACCTAAAAAGGTATTCATTATTTTCAGATACTGAAATCAAGCACTGTTTTAGCATCAGAAAATATTAGTTTTACAGACACGGTTCTGCCTATAATGGGAAGAGGGTTCTCTTTAGGAATTTGAGCTTTTGGGGTCCTTTAGCTCACGTCCTTAGATTCTGCCAAAGCTACTGACAGATCTGTGTGAGAATCAGCTACCTGCACATTGTTCCAAGACTGCAGCCCTATTATGTCCAGCTTTCCAGGAAGGAGCTGACTTATTCCTGAGGGAATTAGGTGAAGTTGAGTAAGGCTATATATAAATATATCACGATTTCTGAATGATTAACTCCAAGTACACAGGTTGATGTGTTCATACATATACATATACATATACACATACATAGACATAGACATAGACATAGACATAGACATAGACATAGACATAGACACACAGGCAGGGCTACGGGAGTGATGCCAATGCCCCAGCATCAGAATCACACCTGCTTCTGAGTAGTGGGGATAGATTTGTGTTGGGCATACACTCTTCTTCATAACCAACCACTGCACTTGTGAAGGAACTGGACAGAACCCAAGATGCGGATTGGGCCCTTGGAACAAAGAAAAACTGTTTCCTTCTTAAATTATTCTGTGTTTTTATGAGTATGTTATAGATTATGACATCTCTGAAAATAGGATGTGGTTAAATAGATTAATGCTCCTATAGAGTTGTAATAATGATTTGCAAATATATTTACGTTTTATAAGATTACTGTTAAATATGAATATTTGATAGTTGTCATTATTTCTATTTTTCTTCAGGCATATCTGTTGTCACTGTATTTATTGAGGTATTAGTTCATCTTTTATGTAGTAAAATCTTCATTGTTTCGTCTGGTTCAGGGTAGTAAATACTCCGGTTAGTCAAATGATATAATAACTACAGTAATCCTATATAACAATTTTCAAGTCATAAAAGTCTTCTATTAGCTAAATACTGTGCTTGAACCAAGGGATACTACAATTATTAAGATACAATCCCTATTTTTATGGTATTTTTATTGTACACATCTTATCCCTTCCTAAATATCAAAAGTATATATGTTGTACATAATGGAATGTTTCTAAGGATGCAGAAGGAATTTTAAGGTCTTTTAAATCTTTTTTGATCATCAGTATGAGTATTAATTTTCATTATGTGATGGATTAATAAAAATGCTAGCTAATTAAGAGTTAGATGAATTAAATTTGAACAAATTTTGCAGTATTCAGCAGAAATTCTTTGTGAAAACATGAATCAACTATTTTATTTTTATTTGAAGAATTCTTTTCACTGGAGTCCTACTTGTCAAAAATGTTTGATAATTTGAAATAGTTATGAGTTACATAGAAAGTTTTCTGAGATTAAAACGTTATGGATGTGATAAGCATTTTACTTGTTCCCACTAAAGATATTCTGAATTTATGGCAGTCTTGTCAAATGCTTGTTGAGCTTATTAAATAGACAACTCACCTAAGAGAAAGGTGATCTTTTCTGATGAGATATTCCACACTTTATTTCCTGGGACTGGAGACAGAGCCATACACCAAATGGTCAAGTTGTCTGATTGGGCTGGTTTATCACTATGTACCCTTGTTAAAACAGACTTCAGTTCCAGAAATCCATCTTTGCCTTTTCTCTCTTCATTAGTAATATATATTCCTGCCAGACAGATAAGAACATGGTTAGTCACTAACATTTTATGTAAGAGCCATACAATAATGCCAAGGCATGGCATGATCCATTTATGATAATGTAGAGTCTAAAGTGGTCAAATGGCAGCTTCTCTGCAGTGAGGGTCAATTTCAGCAGATATGGAATTAAATTGAGCTGTTTGCTCAAGCTTCTACATGTCATCATATAAAACATATTGATCAATAGTGTTGCTTTGTTTGTGACCATGTGTCCAAAATGTTTTGAGGCAGATTATCCTAGCTCACCAGCATTGTTTGTTGACAACTGTGAGACTGATAATTTACACCTAGTCTAGTTTAGACCTTGGGAGAGCTCTGCTGTGGAGTCTGGTTATGTTGCAGGAATATACCTAAGTGACCAGTAAAATATAAAGCAGTCTTGGTTGGGACTCTGTTTTGGACTACCCACTTCTGAGCTCTTCTGTGTATGTATCAGTAGTCTCTGAGTTGAGAGAGAAAGTGTGTCTGGCTATGGCCCTTAGAGAGGGAGGACGAAGGAGCTCATATCTGACTTCTCTGAACTCCTGGCTGTAAGTGTAGGATAGGATATGCTGCATATTGTAATATTTTTGTTACATTATCTCCTCATCTTGAAATAAGCTGTAGATTTGTAAGCATTGCATTTTGGGTCCCATGAGTCTTCTTTACAAATCAAACTCTGTTTTAAACTGTTATGTTAGTACAACCTCCAAATAGCATAATAGGCAGCAGAAAATTAATGTAAAACCAACTATCACTATATGTCAGAATTTTCTGGATTCTCACAGCTTTTTCACATTAAAGATTCTTAACACCAATTCTGATGCAATTATTTACCAAAGTAATAGCTAAATGCAGTTGTGTGCCGATGCAATTCTGACCACAAAATCTAGTCTCTAGTGTGGTGAAATCTGGGCGCTTTGCCTATGCAGGGCTTATTTAACAGGATAATATATTTATAATAACTTTTTTTTTTTGAGACGGGATTTCCCTCTTGTTGCCCAGGCTGGAGTGCAATGGCATGATCTTGGTTCACTGCAGCCTTCGCTTCCTGCATTCAAGCGATTCTCCTGCCTCAGTCTCTCAAGTAGCTGGTATTACATGTGTCTACCATCACTCCCAGCTAATTTTTTGTATTTTTAGTAGAGACGGGGTTTCACCATGTTAGTCAGGCTGGTCTCGAACTCCTAACCTCAATTGAGCTGGAGATCCGGCCACTGCACTTCCAGCCTGGGCGACAGGAGCGAGACTCTTGTCTCAAAAAAAAAAAAAAAAAAAAAGAGGAGACGACCGTAACCAAAAACTATTTACAATATGCAGGGCATATCCCTATCCTACACTTACAGCCAGGAGTTCAGAGAAGTCAGATATGAGCTTCCTTCGTCCTTCCCTCTCTAAAAGGCCCATAGCCAGACACACTTTCTCTCATGCTTAGAGACTTCTGATACATTACACCAGAAGAAGCTCAGAAGTG